ATTGTTTTTTTTAATTATTTAATATAAAATTTAAAAAAAAGAAGATTAAAAAAAAAAAAAAAAAAAAAAAAAAAAAAAAAAAAAAAAAAAATATATATATATATATATATATAAAATTAAAAAAAAAAAAAAAAAACATGGAAAAAAATTGTGGTCCTTGTTCCGTAATGAATTGTACGTTTGTCAGTGTTAGGTTTCGTATGATTACGGAGCTTGCATATAAGAAATGCCGTGAGAAAGGAACATTGGAAACATACTCTTATCTTGAAGTCGGTAAACAACTTTGTCACCAACATTACTGTAAAATTGTAGAGTCTGATAGAGGCCAAAGAAAATATAAGCTAAAATCAAAAACAATACAAGCTCGGAAAGAAAACTATATACCAACATTAGTTCAGCAGCAACCATCTCAGATCGAACAGCAAGTTTCTCAAACGCAAAACCAGCAACAGCTTTCCCAAAACCAGCCACAGGTTTTTCAAATGCAGAGTCAAGAGCAGCTTTCCCAAGACCAACTGCGGGTTTTCCAAATGCAAAATCGGCAATATTTCCAAAACCAATCGCAAGATTTTCAAGCACTATTTTTTGAAACATTAAAACCGATAGAGCCTCAAACTAATCATAGTAATTATTTTATTTTATTTTATTTTATTTTATTTTATTTTATTTTATTTTATTTTATTTTATTTTATTTTATCTTTTTATGTTTTAATGTTTATTTATTTTATTTAAATAGTAGATTCTACATTTGCCTCAAAAATACAAGCCTTAACAAAAGTATTGTATAACCAGCAACGTAGGGAGTGCACCAGTTTGCAATTGGATCCAGTAAAGTTTGATCGTATGATTGAAGATGCTGACCCTCAACTTAAGGGTTTTTTCAATTATATGGTTAACATGTTAATTCCAAAAGAGCGCTCAACTTATAGCGTAAATGAGGCTAAAAAGTCAATAGTCGGGCTATGTTATACACTGGCTGGTTTACGGAATAAATTTGTTAACCAGCATAAAATAGAAGTTGGATTATACTTAATGTCGTCGGGTGCATCATGGGAGGCTATCGATACGATGTCAAGCTTAGGGTATTCTGCATGTGCTAAAACAATTGAAGAATTCCGAAATAATATTAAAAAAAAACATGCAGTAAAAATTGAGAAATATTTTTTAAACAATGTAAGGATTATAAATTTTTAATAAAATGGGTTGCTGTCAATAGAAATGGCATTTTAAAAAAATTTAATGTCTTAACTTTCATAGCTCATAGCTTGATGAATTTCGAAGCTATGAGATATGAAAGTTAAAGTATTAAACTTTTTAAAATGTTAATCTGCCTGATTTCTATTATAGTAGTCCAAATGGTAATATATTTTAAATGTATATTAATATTATTTTTCTTATTAGAAAAATGTTTTTCACATCTATAATATCGACGATTACCATTCCATTCATGAAAATCGAAGGCCAGACACAGTATCAACATCAACCGCGAATCATTTTGCAACCTGTGTTGCGAAACCTATCAATTATCATTCTTTGCCAGTTATATCCAATGGCATGTCAATACATAATCCAATGAACCTTGATGCTTCAAGAATATGCTGGTATTTGATAAATCGATATACTGGCGCATTTGACGTTTCATACTTAGAATGCCAATGGATTTTACAGATAAATGAAACTGTTAATAAATTTGATCGAGTTGAAACTTTAACTATACATAATTATGATGATCATATTATAGAGCGAAAAGAGGAACGTTCAATGAATGGTCTCCAACTCATTGGATTCAAAGAGCAAAACTTGCATTCAGTACAAGATTATCTTAATGCCTTGAAGCTTATTTTATTAATAAATGAAAATGTACATCATGTGGATAATCAAATTATACCGGTTGTTGCTGACTGGCCCGGCCAGCTCTTCATACGAAAAGCATTATATACAAAAGTATCATTTCCATATATTGAGTCATTCATACCCATGTTGGGTCCACTCCACTTGTCACTAAATAGCCGTGAACAGGTTTTATTAGTGCACCATTCTTTTTTTGAAAAATTATTTCATTTTGTGTTTGGTGAGAATAAGAAGTTGGCAAAAAAACCTCGTCCATGGCGGATAAATCTTATTTTGGAATTAGCACGATGTGGTTGGGTTAAAGTGAGGGATAAAATTATAAATAAATTTGGTCAAACCTGTAAGGATGTTGAGTATAGAACTGCAATCGATCTACTTGATAATTTAGTCCCAGCGACACTTGATGTTTATGCGATTTTGTTTCGGGGAGGCTTGTTTGAGGAATATGTGGAAACAGTGTTTCGTATCTGGACATTCGCCTTGCGCTGGAAACGAAAAAACTATAACAAAGCGCCTCTTATTTTTTTATCAGACCTATTCTATTGGAAAGATACCAACAATCCTTTTTTTCATTTAATACAAAAACATTTACCGTGTTTCAATGAGTACTATGTAGAAAACACCCATAGTCGAATTAGAGCTAACACCTCTCAAAATTCAACGGTCAACAATATAATAAAACAGGCACATGTTATTATGGATCATGATCTTGTATTCAAAAATGCATATTGTAAACAACGACGATATCCATATAATGCACCAATGCTTGATTTTTTGTCTGACAAAACCAGTATTTTTTTATTACAATATTTTCGGGATGTATATTACAACCGTGGACAAAGCATTCCAAAAATTGACAATATAGAAAAAAAAAAAAAAAAAAAAATAGAAATCTACAAGCTTGCAACATTAGAAGAAGAAGTGGATTTGAGACGTTTACCAACGGCATATAGTACATCATGTCCACCACACCCTGAATTATGCGATTACTGCAAACTTCCATTCATTGATAATATCGGCATAGTGCTTATATGTGGACATGGTTATCATGTTTCTTGCTATAATAGACGATGTATTCACTGTGAAGAATTCTACAAAAAAGGAATTTTTAAAAACGTTAATTCATTTTTGAAACGAATTGAAAAAGGAGCAGATGTATTAACGAAAGAAGATCTTGATGATGATGTTGAAATGGAAGAAAATAATGAAAATTTGGAGGATACAAAGGAAATATTGGATGTTTCATCTAGATTAGTAGCTGAAATTAATCAAGTAAGCTGTTGGTAAGTAAAAAAAAACTAATAAAATATGTCAGTAACAGAATTTCAAGCTCAAGCTCAAATACAAATATAAATATGTCCATAAGTGTTTAAATGCCATTTGTTATAAATCTTGTACCGTGTGAAAGTTACTGGATCAGCTCGGATCAGCAAAAAGTGTTTTCACACTTTGATTATATTACGACTCAAGAATGAACTAGTCAAGTTTCATAAAAAACAATTGTTTTTTTAATGTGCTACCATATGACATATCTTTGCTCGCTATATTAAGTTTTATGTAACATTTGTATTTGACCAATCACATTTTCAAACATGATAGCCAATAAAATAGGACTTCTGTCATGCTTGAATCAGATATAATAGCATTGATTACAAACTTAATCAGGATCAATTTTAATATATATTACTAATCTAATTTTTCTTTTACTAAATACAACAATTTGTTAAAAAAAAAAGTAGCATAAAGCTTGTAGAGCTTAAAAATGATAGCGAACAGAATTCCTATGTGTTTCTTTTTCAAATAAAGAAAGTTAGGTGATTGAGCAATAATAATAGAAATTTGATGGATTACAAGTTCAAAGCTAACTAATTTATAATCAAATATGTGATCTATCATTAGAAAATCTTATATTGTAATAGAATTAATTAATTACTATGCTTTTCAAATTGCTGTGTTCACTGATTTTCATACATTATACTGGGAATTATAAATCTAGAAAAATGTCAATATACATATATGTGTGCCTAAATTATTTTGAAATAAAGTATTTTTGACAAAAATTTTAGCATTGCTAAGTTTTTTTATTAAACCCTCTAAAATAACTATACTATATGATGTAATCTGATAAAAGAGTCCAAAAAATTTCAGCAATAATTTCAGTAAATATAAAATTAATTTCAGCACTACATAAGACTAATTTCAACTATCTAAATGCTATAATTACCTTTTATTAAAATGGGCAATTCAGATACACATGTCTACTAATATATAATTAGCTAAAAATTATTTTTAACTAATTACAAATTTGCATTTATTCTGGATTTTTGATTTTTAGGGTAGTGTATAAGAATTAGCAGACACAGTAATTTGAAAAGTGCAGTAAATAGAGCCTCTAAATATACTATATACTCATTTTTTCATCAGCTATTTCATTTACAACTATTTAACCAATATTATATAAGGCTAAGGTTAGTATTTGATTAGTTGTAGTTATATATTAATAGTAAATTATCACCAAAAGAAGTTGGTTTAATGGCTTGTATTAAATGCCAATAAGATTTTTTAACAAAAAATATATATCAAAATATGATATATACATTGTAAGTCAGAATCTACTTAGATTAGAGCTAAATTAATTTAAATTCTGTTTCAACTTACGACTATAATAATTATTGTTATCAAATTTAGATATATGTACTTTGTTTAAAATTTAATCTGAAATGTATGATATGTGTCATTCTCAAAGTAACACAACCATGAAAATAAAAAAATATACAATATGAGCATTAGCATAAGGCAAATCATAAAGTTTTGTTGTTTATTTAAATTATTCATTCAAGAACTGATTTAATTATTGCTTCAAATTTTGAATCAAATTATAGTGTATCTAAATTTGAATGTCTAAAATGTATTTACATCAAATTTTATTGATATTTTTAATATAAGAAATTCAAATTTAAATTAAATACTGCAGTAAAGTTTTTTTTATCATTTAAAATCTTTGTTATTTACCATTTTTCAATTAGTTTTAGAGTTTTTTTCATCTTAAAAGATTATTAGATTTTTAATATAATCAAATGTCTAGAACAATAATAACTAGAGATGTGGGTTATACCTATACTATATTATATGATTGGCATAATACCAGTATTATACTTATAGGTATAGATATAATACTAATAATAGAAATGAGTTGGCTAATTAAATTGTTTTATCTGCAATTTTAAAAGTTTAATTCTGAAAAATTCCGAATCATATTAAGCTTATATCATAATAGATTTTATTGTACAGGTCTTATATAAAAACCTGTGCTTTTTTACTTATTGACAGTACATGTTTAAAAAAATAACAAAATCAGAACACTTTCATAATTGATAAAATATGAAAGTGTTCTGATCTGGTTATTTTTATTAAATTAGTAGTATTTACTTTTAAGAATTGTAATTAGATGGGATTATAACTTTAGTAGGTTTTCACAATTTTAAAATTGTATATTAAATTAATTAGCAATGTATAATAAGATCTTATTTATTTAGCAAATATATCTAATATGTAAAAAAATCTATATATGAAAAAAATCTCACAACTATGAATTATATTATTTACTAAATATAAGATTTAAATTTATAGTTAAGAGTTTGTTAGTAAGTAGAATTTGAAGTATAATATTATTAGTAACAGATTCAAGAACATTTTTGGGTTGAATATAATTTTGTGCAGTATTTGAATAATTTGCTAGTTTC